ACCTGCCCCGTCCCGGTGCCCGGGGCTCTTCAGGCCGGGCGGGCGCGCCGCGAGGTACCGCTGCCGGGCCAGAAACGTCAGGCGTTTCTTTTGCTAAAAGAATATCTCGGAGGGTCACCTGTCTATTTTCTGAAGGTTCATTATTGCCATCACAGTTCTTCCTAAGCAGTTTTAGCCACGTTATTTCCAATGACTGCAAAATGAAATATAAACAGAATGTAATACTGCTATGAAACTCCTTGTTTTATTTAGTATGGCAACTTTATAGACGATTTACGGCTGTATGTGAGAGGAGGAACTGGTGGAATGGGTTATCCTCGTCTAGGTGGGGAAGGAGGGAGAGGAGGCGATGTCTGGTTCGTCGCCCGAGAAAGAACTACCTTAAAGAGCATAAGGGACAGATATCCCCAGAAGCGATTTGTAGCTGGAACAGGAGCCAACAGCAGGTAGGAGTCTGTGTGATGAAAGTAGTTAATATGCATCTTTTCCAGAGAGCAAAATGTCAGCTAAAATTACTAAAGCCTGGTTTAATTTCTCCCAGTGTTAAAGCACTAAAAGGTCAAAAAGGAAAAGACTGTGAAGTTCATGTGCCTCTGGGAATTTCAGTTCTTTGTGATGATGGCAAGCAGATTGGTAAGAACTTTTGCTTTGTTTTAATGTATCTAGTAGATACTGTCATATTTATTGATAGCATCTAGTAGACTTCTAACACTAGCATGTTTTAAGGTTACACATCTCCCAAAATTTGTGTGTGTTTTCCTTTGTGTGGACAAAAATTACACTGTAGAAGTTGTTGAAAAAGCAAGGACCCCTTCCAGAAAGTAGCAGTAGTTTGTATCACTATATGCAGCAGAAGAAAAATTGCCCTTGCGAACCTATGTTAAAGGCCGGAAGCCATACTGATCCTCCACAGAATCATGAATGACTTAAGTAAATTACACTCAGGTAAGTGTCCCTATAACTTTACTGAGTTATGACATTGCTTAAAAGATAAAAAGATCCTTGTTGAGTGTCAACATTTCAGATTATCTGAAATACTTACCTGTTTTTCAATCTTTTAAAGTACCACTTGGTACTTTACTTGGTAGTAAACAGGGAGGTCTCTTTCAATATAGTGCTCTTGGAATAGCTCTCAATGGTTCCCTTGCAATTGATCAGAGTTTTTCTTCTCATACTGTTCAGAGTTCAAACTAAATACACAAATGACTCTGATTTGGATGTTTAACAAAATTGGATGTATGGCAAGAACTGTTCGTGATGTAGGCACGTCTGTCTGAAAGTATCCTTGAATTATATACTCAAATGTTGCGTAATTAATTTTTAGTATTATTATTATAACATTCCAACCCTAAGGGAGATACTATAGCTTGCATCTTAATGAAAAAATGTGGAACATCTGAAGAATTTGCTGTAGCCACATCTCTGTCAATGCAGATTTTTCCCTGCATTCTTGAATTCAAGTATTGGAGGCTTCAGAACTAACCCTTTGGCCGTACTTTGCCTGTCTGTGCTTGGCATTGTTCTTGAAGCAACTGACTGTATGACAGAAGGGAATACTGGGGTGTGATTGCTCTCATTTGTTTCCAAAGAAACAAAAATACTATGACCCTAATTGCACAGCTCTTGCAAGAAATCGTACAGAAAACTCTCTCTTCATTGAAGATAGATTTGAACTACTGCAGTGATTGTGCTTTTTCACTAGTAAATTTATTTTCAGGAGAGCTTAATGCAGCAGGAGAGCGATTCCTAGCAGCTCGCGGAGGTCTTGGAGGCTCTTTGGCCACAAACTTCGTGCCTTGTAAAGGCCAGAGGCGAATTGTGCGTCTTGATTTGAAACTTATAGCAGATGTTGGCTTAGTTGGGTAAGTACTGTAGTTTGAGAACTGACATTAGAAAATGAAGTAGTAAATTTCAAATGAGATTTCAAAGAAATTTCAGAGCTTGGAGGATGAGCGTTGCTGTACATTTGCATTGCCACTTAAATTACTTGCAGTTTGCAAAACTCAGAGTTTAAACCTATTAAAATTAATTTTAAAATTTGGAATGTATTGGTTATGCCCTTTGGATGAAGGACCAGCTCTTCCGTATAAACAGCTTGGAACGTTGCAAGGAAGTAATTACAAACAGGAACAGTGGGACTTGCGTTTCAATGTTGCTGCCTTATAACAATGCAGATAAATGTATTTTTATTTGGAGAAGGCTTTCAACAAACTACAGTTGTAGAAGTATTGATCTACTCAGCATCTACTACCTTCACCCGCCCTGTGGTCCTTATTAAGCAAAACCATAGAAAATGTAAAATGATGAGGGGTTTGAGGTGGAAATAGTCTAATTAATATATATCATTAAAGAATAGAAACTTGAAGACAGCATGGTTTTCTACCTACTTTTTTTTTTTGCTTATTAGAAATAATTCTGTTAATATCAGATTTATCTAAAGTTACATAATTTTCAAGTGGTCTTCAGTAATTACACAATAGAGAATTTTTCTTGTTTTAGAGTGTATGGAAATACAGTTTTATGACACTGGTGCTTCTTTAATCTTGCATTTTGGCTTGTATTTTATCTGACAGTTTACCTTTAAAATGGATTAAGAGAATCATCAATTAATTAGAGGAGCATATTGTTTTCTTGTTGAGAGTATGAATCAGCCTCTGATAGTTTGTGACTGTACTTTGATCTCTTTGTGTTTGTTGTTTTTTCTTCAGTAGATTTGCAAGTGGTTTGCTATTAGATCGGGTAAAAAGCATATAGACTTGAGAAAGGCCCATCAGGTTTGGGTACAGGTTGTGATGTGTTGTGTAGGTTGCAATTTAAACTTCAAAGAGCATATTGTACATCAGTAAAAATAAAATATCCCTTTGAGGAGATGACCAGAGTAACCTTCCAGAATGTCTATGAGGCACCTATCAACATCAGAGCGCATTAAAACTACCCTCAATAGTTTTCCTGTTGTATCAAGAGTCATTATGTCTCTTTCAAGAAAGCCCTGTATACAACCCCTTTAATAAGTCTCTTGATGTCATACTAGTCTTGTTTTCATTCACTTATGTTCTTATTAGTTGTCCCCGTTAACAGGTCATGATTCCACATGTATTCAAGCAGAGTGTGCGTGGTTTTCTGCGTGACGCAAGCCTTTGTATCTTGTGACCAATGTTCAGTTGCCTGTAGACACAGTTTTCTTTGATCACTGTTGTGCTGAAACGTTGTACTGAATAACTGTCAGTGAATTTGGCTGGAACACAAGTCTTGTGTGGTCTTCTGTACGGAACAGGTGCTGTGAATAAGAACTATAGTCTATCCTTTGATGTCAGCATTAGCTTCAAGTTTGACATGGATCAAGGCTATTGCGCCTTTTACAGCTCAGATTAATCTTTAAAATAAGCACGTGTTATAATTTCAGTTTTAATGTAGGTTTCCATTTCAATGGGTAGATGTATTCTGTGAAGAAGCTTTTGTAGAAGCTACCATGTCCCTTAAGGAGCATTTTTGTTGCAGTACGCAGACAGAGCTATCCCTTGTAAAGAGTAAAGGTTGCAACAGTCAGGTCTGCACAGACCAGCTCGTGGGGCTTCACTGGTATTCTTTGTGATTTACTTGGTAAAAAGCAGGTTAGTCCTGATTTCAGGATCCCTCATACAACTTTATTGCCTTAAAAACATGCACAGTCTGTGCATGTCTATATACACAAAGCCTCTCTCTCTCACCCTTCCCCTCTCCGCCCCTTATATATGTGCTTACAGAGTCTCTATATACTTTGCTACATTAGCTAAACTGTAGCATAGATATCATCAGTACTTTAATTGTAGGCGGTTTTGTTAACCATGATTTGTGTCCCAAAAGACCGTAAATCCAACTGATAAGATGCATTTGCATGACAGGTGTTTAGAATGTAAACGTAATTCACAAAATTAGCTATAGCACATGAAGGCTGAATTCAAGTAGACCTGGATGCTTATGCTGTATTTCCACCCGAGTGACTTTGAAAGATTTCCCTTACATCTATCACACATGTATTTACATACCTCTCCTGCCTCCATCCTTGGGAAGCATTGCTAGATTTAGAGCAATTATTCAGATATGATTAAAAAAACCCATGATCATCTGGGTTTTGTTGGGTTTTTTTAAAAAAAAAAAAGTCTGAGTAAATGAGTCTGCAAAAATTAGTTGATAGCATTGAGTTTGACTAAGGTAATATAGTGTATTTGGTAATAAAATATACAGGAATCACATGTGTTTATTCAATATCTAAATTCTGACTTTCCTTCTAGGTTTCCAAATGCGGGAAAATCATCCTTGTTAAGCAAGATTTCTCATGCCAAGCCTGAGATTGCAAGTTATGCATGTAAGTTCATACTCTTATTTTTAGAGCAATAATATTTAATGAGAGCAAAAAGTCTTTTCGCTGACTTGGTTTGCAGGTTTATTATAGAGGATAGGGGATAACCATGTTGTCTGCTGAAGTTACACAGATTTTTAATTATAAGAAGTACTTCAGAGACACTTGCTGTTTCATTGTCCAGTGCCTTTCATGTGTACACCTTCATAGTACTTCAGCCTGTTGATGCAGGATCTATTTGATGTTTATTTTAGCCTCAGCCCATTTTATTGCAGACTCTCCGTGGTGTGTAATATCCTCAGTCTACTGAGTATGCACCAAGTCCCTTTGCATAAACATCTCATATGCTTTGGAAATAGAGCTAACAACTGTTCTTTCAACAGTGAGATTTTGGTTTTGAATCTGTCCACTGAAAAATGGACAGAAAAATTTTATTTTTCTGTCAGTCAATTAGAATCAGTTGTCTGATCATTCTTTAATTAAAAAGCAAGAATATAAGTACTGATAATTCCTACTGACCTTCTTGCACCACTCCTGATTTTCTACAACCTCTTTATATTTTTCTTCAGTTGCCTTTCATTATTTTTCCCTATTTGGAAGCAATTCTGTAGTCTGGATAACCATTTTTGTCTCTGAGACTTCTCTAGTTCCCTTGTTCCCTTTTTGGATGATGGGAACAGAACTGCAGATGGTGCCAAGATTTGGTGAACCGCTGGCTTTTTAGTGATCTAGTTTTATTCTGTCTTGTTTTGCTTTTTCTGTATTCCTTTTTTGAGTCATTCTTAACATCTCATTTGCCTTATTTTTTTTCTGCTACTGAACGGTTGTTTCATTTAAATGTGAAGTGAGAAAGTCCTGCAACATTTAAATGTCTTGTAACATTAACATTTTTTAAAATGTTAAAAGTTTGGTTTTCTTCCCCTTCTCTTTTTCCTGTGTCATAGTTACAACAATACAGCCTGAACTAGGAAAGATCATGTATGCAGATTATAAGCAGGTTGGTATGAAAGTTCATTCTAGTTGTTCATTAAAGTTGTATATAATGATTATTTATGTTGCTTAACATAATTTGAGAAAGAAAAAGGAAACTTGTAAATTTTTTCATATGTCTATCTGTAATATATACATATAAAATGCAATTCCATGGACTTAAGGAGAGTTGTGGAGAAAGTACTATTTTTATGAATTAATAAGAGAGCTTTATAGCCAAGTGATTTCAAGTCACTTTAATAAATGGCTTCTCATTTTCCCTTGTCTTCTTTCTGTGATTCTAATCTTGCTTTATAATCTTAGAGCTGTGAGCTTATGTATGGAATTGAGATTGCTTGTGTCCTAGTATACTCTTGTTAAGTTTAGGACTTTAAAAAAATCATTTTTTCAAAGACTGACCTGTTATTTTTATTTAGAAGAGGCAAATTTTCTACAAGTTGGCTGTACAGAGAGCTCTGGAATGAAGCAGTTCATTTTCAGAACAGAGTTTAAACAGTGAAAGATTTCAGATAGCTGCAGAATGACAGGGAATTTAGTGAATATAACTCAGTTACCATAACTTACTGTTCTGGCTTTCTAGGTTGGCTGCTCTAACTTCCTTTTGTGGTTTGGTTTGGGTTTTGTGGTTTGGTTTGTTTTTTGGTTTTTTTTTTTTTTTATAAAAAGCTAAAATAAATGAAGTGATAGCAATTGCCTGAACAGCCAGGATAGCACACTACCTGGGAGGTGAGGTACTCCAGAGTACTGAGTTCTTCCAGAGCTACTGCCCTACCACCTTAATTTTTGTGAACCAAATTCCACTCAGCTTCTTCAGGTAAACTTGTCAGATAATTGTGTGGTGCCTGGAATCCTTTCTACAGTATCCACTGAGGGGGAAAACCAACGCTAAATGAGACTCTTACATGAACTTCGGGTCCAGAATCTAGTAGTAAGGTTACAGCAAACGTTTTGATTCCTCAAGCTGGAATCTTCTTTGATGTGCTTTTGTTTTCTTTTTAAACGCATGGTCCATGCACTTCCAAGATAAAAGGCAAATGCATAAAAGGGTTTCAGATGAGTTAACCAGAAAAGCATACCGCTCAGATGTGAAAAAACAGAAAACTCCTCTTTTCACTTTCAGGAGCAATAATCTTAGGGGGATTCAGTAGCTGATGCTTGAAACCTTCATGTAACAACCTTTAACAAAACTGTGTATTAAAGGCAGTAAGTCTAGTTTGTCAGGTTCCCTGTAGACATGCACATGACTAAGGGAAATTTTTTTGTATATTCATTTCATTTGCTGGTTTAGGGTAACTTATCCTAGAAAGCTCTTGCTGCAAATAACAGGATTGTTTATAGCCTTTTTAAAAAAACTGCCTGCCATGAATCAGGACCTCTTGCTCTTAGTGGTGTATCTTTCTTCAACAGGAGAACTACTTGCACTCCTGGCTTTCTTTTCTGCAGTCTGTTTCACGTCATAGCCAATGACCCGTATTGTTGTCAGCTGTTTCTGCAGTTCATGGTTTTTATACTACAGTGTTGGGTGCTCTGTGGGAACTGTATGGACAAAATATCTCTTTTCTAAAATCAAAGGAACTAGTGATTGTATTCACTGGGAATGTCTGTGAGTAAGAGGAAGTACTTCAGCTCTCAGTATTGGAACTGCTGAGAACAAAACAACATAAGCATGTAAGAGCAATATTTGGGGTGACTGTCCTGTATCACTCAAGGGAGACTGGCTTGTATCTTTTTTTTTTTTTCCCCTCTACAGAACATTGATGTTTTTTAGAAAATACGTAACAATTTGCTTATTTTATCTTAGTACATTATAAACAAGAAAATACATGTGAGTTACCTGGTGCTGTCTGTCATTGCTACTTGCAAAAGAAAAGACACACAAGTACAGGATCAGAGTATGATTCTGGGTTCAGGTCTTAGTACCAGATCATGGAAGCTAGCAGAACCATTTACATTTTCTACCCGAATATCTGAACCAAATGCTGTTTTGAGAGAATATGAGTTTCTTTATGAGCTCTGTAAAAAATATTCTTTGAAAGAGAAATAAAGTTGGGGAAAAAAAAGTGGTGATGATGGTACTACAGCACTCAAACACACCACACCAGGAAGTGGATGTTTCAGTTCTAACTCTCTGGATATTCTCTCCCTGTTTCAGTGATTCTCTCTCTGTTTCTGGTTAAGAGTCTGTGGTTCACCCAGTTACATCTCATGTCTCTGTAGATAGAAAATTCTGAAGCAAGGCTTCAAATATTTAGGAAATGCATAATGGTTAAAAGTTAGTGTGACACATGAGCAGGAGCGTAACTCACTCATAGCAGAAAGCCCCCTTCTGCAGGAAGGTAGCCCACTGAAAATTTTACTGTGTATTGGCATTGGGCATCGCTTAATTGAATCCAGTTGCTGTTTAAATGGGTTAGACAGATTTGGAGACCCTACTTTTGCTCTTCTTTGCTTCACCATCTGTCTTAGCTTTTTATGAGTTACTGAGTAGATGTTTGGCGTTTTTAGTATTCTGCTCTTTCTGGGTCTCAGCTCTCCTTTACAACTGTGTACAACCCGCCCAACCAGCAGAGAAAATGACAAGATCCGTTTCTGTTGTGGCAGTCTTTGCTGGTCTCTGGTTGGAAGCTGATGTACTAATCAAAATTCTACTTCAGTGGAAGAGCAGAAGACAAATTCTTGGAGCTTCTGATGCTCAGGGGAACAATGTTAAGTGGGTTTGTGTTTGGAATAATGATGCTCTGTAGCCACAAGGAACAGGCTTTATTTTCTTTTCCAGTGACAATTTGGATTCTATACAAACGTAATAGCCTAATCTTCTTACCTTTCAGGGTCTGTTTTATTCTCAGGTAATAGGTAAATTGTGCAAGATCTCTGCCAAGGTGTTGCTACCTTCTGTTTTCTACTTTGCAGGCAGCTATAAATAAATAGACAGGGGAGCACGAGGAGCACAATGTCTGTGTAATAGCAGCATTTTGTTTAAATCTGCTTCTGATGATAGATTGTAAATGCATTGAAACAGCCAATGCACGCTGCCAGAGAACCAATCCCCTGCACAATTCCAAGAAACACACATAGTTGTAAAAAGAGTCTCAAAATAGATATTCCTGACATTACTTAGTCTGAGTTCTTTTGTTTATATAAAATGATAATAGGTGTTGATAGTTTAAAATCACTGTTTTTTGCTTGTTGGAAATCTTTTGTTTGAAACTTTTGTTTTCCTAGATTTCGGTAGCTGATCTCCCAGGACTGATTGAAGGTGCACATGCAAACAAAGGGAGGGGCCACAAATTTCTCAAACATGTAGAAAGAACCAAACAGCTTCTCTTAGTTGTAAGTTAAACAGAATGTACAGCTTACTGAAATCAAAGGCAGTGCAGTAAATAAAATGTGTTTTAATTGCAGTGTAGTTGGAATTTAGGAAATCATTTGTAATTTGCATGTTTTGTGATAAATATAGCTGTAATACTGTTTTCAGAATGAAATGCTCAAAGGACTGATGATAAATTTAATCCTTAAATAGAATTTATCATTAAAACTTGTCAGTTACTTTAGAGTAGTGAAGTGTTCCAAGCATAATTTTTTGTCTCTTTTTTTTCTGTAAAATCCCTTTAGAAAAGAGGTGTAAAAATCAGACCTTTGAGAAACACTATCAGAACCAACCAGTCTGTGCTTCCAGTGTCTGTGTTGTTACTTTGGTGTGTAGTTGCCCTCTGTTGCTTGCCCAGGAATAAGGGCATGTACATGGTCAGTTTACCGCAAAATAGTTGGAGAGTACCTTGATACTGTAACATAATTTAATACCACAAAGCTTGGTTTTGTGTAACTTTTTCAGGTTGATATTTCTGGGTTTCGGCTGTCTCTTAAGACTGAGTTCAGAACAGCCTTTGAAACTATATTGCTTCTAACAAAGGTAAGTTCTCATCTTCCTAGTAGTTGTAGTTATGTGTTGAGCCAAGAAAGAGGCTCAGTTTTGATTAAGAACTTTTGAATGTTAGTATGTCTTCTAAATTTATAATATACGGCCAGTTAACAAGCTTAGGATTCTCTGACATGATGACATCTTTACTTTTAACTATCCAGGTGAAACGGCTGTATTTTACATTGGGCACAACTGTTCTTCGTTAATCTGTGCAACATATAGGATATTTCCTACAGTCAAGCAAAACTGAAAAGGCACATAATTTTCAGCTGCCCAGTCTGGTAGCATTTTAGGAAGTAGAAAGACATGGGTATAGTTAAATCCCTGCCTTGATGGCCTTACTGCATAACCTAATGGAGATGAGACATAAGGCCCCAACTTTGTAGGCATTCAGTGTTTCCGTCTGTTACCATTGCTTCTGATTCAAATAATACATTTTATGTAATTTCAAGTTTAGCAGCTGTTCTTTCTCTAGCATTACGACTTAAGATGATGCATCTTCTGAATTTCAGCTATTGCTGTTTATTTTTAGCTGATTCACAGTTGTGATTTTATTTCTTAAAATGCTTAAGAATGAGAAAACTTTCCAAAGAATTTGCTTACACGTTTATAGATCTGAACTTTTTCTGAAATTGATTTTGTGTTTGTGGATATCAGAAAAACAAAACCAAAACTGTCATTCTTTTTATAGGAGGCTGTTTCAGAATCTGCCAGCCTGTTTACCCGAAATATCTGTGTCTGAGTAAAAAAATCACTGAATCACTCACTAAACGTTATTTTCTTCTGTCAGACTGCTTCAGTGCATCAGCCTTGAGCACCTGAGTAAATCTCACAGCTGCCTCAGCATGAAAGACTATTTAGGCAATTAAACAAATGAGAGAAGAGGCGTAAAATTGAAGTGGCACTTCTAAACTGCAAATACTTAAGGCAAATTTACTTGTCTTTTAAGGAGCTAGAGCTGTACAAAGAGGAACTTGTAACAAAGCCTGCACTTCTTGCCATTAATAAAATGGATTTGCCTTGTGCAAAGGATAACTTGAATGAACTTACGAAACAACTGCAGAATCCTCAAGGTAAATTAATTTTCAACACTTACCTTTGACAAAAGTAGTAATAAGATTTCATCAGGGGTAACTGCATTGGCAAGGAGTTGTTTGAAACTGAAGTGAAGTCAGCTATTAAATGTATTGCTTGAACATATGTTTTAAAGCAACTTCCTGCATTTAAAGCTCTGTTTATATGCATCTGTAGTGCTGGCTTCACTCTTGGGGAGATATTTTAATTAAATAGAGATATCCTAGAAGATCTTTCCCAAATATGATCTGGGAGTGTAAATTTCCAGTCTCGGTGTCTTGGATAACAGTAATGTCTGTTGAGGGTCCCCTTGCAGACATTGGTGTATGTACAATTTATCATGTGACTTTCACCAGAACACATGGAAATTCTGGACAGGCCTACGTAGGCTTACTTCAATTTTGCTGTTACGTTGGGGTGAATTTCTTCCTATTTCCTGGAGTGCATAAAAACCAGGAAGGCTTAAAACCATCCGTCTTCCATGTTCTACAACTCAGGATTTCTTTGTACTCATCTTAAAGGAAGGGTATAGAGTCTTCTTATGAGAGCATAAGTATGGTATAACTGCTGTGTTAGTCTTGTCTTCTGAGACTTTAGCTATTTTTTTAGAGATTGATTAGGCAAATAATACTTCTATATTAATTGCAGTTATGTTCATTACTGTAATTTATTCAAGTTTCTTTTCTAAATTTAATGTGATTTTATGGGCTTTGTACACTATTTGGGCGTTGTACTGACTCTTTCAATATGATTTTTCAGACTTCTTACACTTACTGGAGGAAGAAATGATTCCTGCAAATACACTTCAATTCAAGGATATAATTCCTATATCTACATACACCGGAGAAGGAATTGAAGAACTAAAAGCATGTATAAGAAAATCCATAGATGAGGAAGCAGAGCAAGAGAATGAAGAATATCGGAAAAAGAAACTATTACTTTTACAAACTTCAGAAGAACAAACGAATAGAAGCTAGCATTCTTGCCTGGATCCAACGCATTTTGATATTTTTAGTACGTACGTGAACCCATTGCTATGCAGACCTTCCATTTAATTTTTGTTCTCTCTGCCACCACTGCCCAGTCCTCTGCTCCCCCCATGGTCTTGATCTCTTTTGGCACTCGGGTAGAGCGCAGTGGGAAAACAAACAGGTTTTTCTGATTTACGTTGGCTGCTAACTCAATGGAGTAAAGTCCGAAGTATGTGCAATTCAACAGCTTAACAACTGGTGATCCCTGGAATGTTTTTTGCCAAATAAGATGAATAGAAGGAATATAACCCACACCGGTAGCAAAGGAGCAAGTTCAGCCACTCTACATCTTCTGCCACGGGCATCAGAAAGACCAAGGGAAATTTCTGACGGAGCAGTTTTCCAGGGTCTAGTACTTCTAAGGTGAACCAGTTCTGCTACTTTGACAGGCATTGAATCCTGAGGTTTTTGTTATTTTTAAAGATTTAAAGGAAAACACAAATAAATGGCTGCAAGGCAGTGACTCGTAGGAGCATGAAAAAGCAAGGCCGATGTGTAATGTTGGGGTTTTTTTCCACACCTGTTGGTGCCTACTGTAGTCCTCTTGATCATATAAATCCTGAGTTCAAATTCCCAAACTTAATTTGAGATTCCCTCCGTTTATGGAGTTGTGGGTATATGTTACTTTTTGGTGAAGATGACTGCTTTTTAACAGAGCTGTACATTTTTAGGAATAGTTAATGTTCCAGTTTTTGCATTACAAGCAGGCACACTGACATTTTACCAAAAATTAGAAGTCCTTTATTGTACAGGGTGTTTTCTACTTTAAAGCTATTAAACTAATTGCAAAGCAAAATAAGACTGAATACATCGACGGCTTCTCAACTTGATCTTGTTTTGTTTTGTAAGTATACTTGCCAAACCCTATTTCTCTAAATTTTGTTAAAGCAGTCACTGAGGAGAAAGGTAGGATTTCTCATAATACAATTCTTTTATCATTAGTATTGGTTCTCATTCTGATTTTCCTCTAATTTTATCAGGGCTAACAGGCTTTCACCAAAGCTAAGTATGGGCTGTCAACAATTTTTGATACTGTGTTTGTTTCATAGTTGAAAATAACTTTTTTTTTTTTGTCAGACTTCTTGAACACTGGTCTTAATCTCACACGTAAATGAGGGGGGAAAAAAGTTTGAAACAAGAGCCAGCTTGGATTTATTTCGACTGTGTGTGAAGAGTTACAGGAGCTTCCGTGATGAATAGATAATGAGTAAGTGCAACATTGAGCCAGTCTTAAGAGCTGTAGCTTGCAGGACTAGTACTGGCCTTTGCGCTTCTTGTGGCGTTGACCCAGGCCAGCAGCTAAGCACTCGCTTGCCAGGACAGGGAGAATCCCGTGAGAAAATGCAGGGTAACTTGTGGATTAAGGTTTAATAGGTGAGGGAAAGAAGGGGAAGAAAAAAAAAAAATGCAAAAGCAATCGCTTATCGCCTGCCACCACCAGGCTGATACCCAACCACTCTCCCAGTGAATGGCTACTTTGGGAAGACCAAACCCCTGGTTTTTGTTGCTGACACGGTCTGGCCAGGGCTGTCCCTGTGGCCAGTTTGTCCGGCTGTCCCCGGCTTGGGGGAGTGGGTCCGACCGAGGCAAGTTAGAGGGCAGGTGGCTGTGTGCTTCCTTCAGCACTTGGAAATAAATGGTCCTGAGACCCATCAAAAGCTCATGCAGGATTATAAAGACCAAGTTGTGTTTGATGCCTCATGAAGCGCTGGTGAGAGTAACGGCGCTGATAGCTCTAACTTTACTAACGTATTTAAGGAATATATTGTAAAGCATCGTTGTCTCCAGCCGCGGGGCTGCGTGCGAATCGCAGTGCTCCTTAAAAATTGACAAAACCTGAGCGGCCGGCTAGTCCCCGCGGAAAGGGCGTGAAGGCGGGCCCCGGGGAACCGGCCCCGGCTGACCCGGCCCCGCCTTGCGACTCAGCCCTGAGCACCGCCCTGCGGGGGCGCCGCGAGGGATGCTGGGAGTTGTAGTGCGCGGGGG